ACAAAGAAAAAGCTAAGTCCTCTGGAACCAAGATGGGTCATTGTGTTTAAAAAACAGTTGAATCACCCAGGGATTCTACTGTTAGACATATACCCCTAGGTCAGTGACAAAAAGAAAGGCCCCACACCACAATATTTTACATATTACATATAACATACACCACAATATTTTGTAGCACCACTCTTTGTAGTAGCAAAGAATTGAAAACAAAGCAGATTCCTATTGTTCTGGGAATGACTACATAAGGTGTGGTATATAAATGTAATGGAACATTACTGTGCTATAAGAAATGATGAATGCAGAGAAACCTGGGAAGATTATGAACTGATATGAAGTGGGGGAAAAAAAAGCCAAGATACATGATGACTATAATGTAACGATATAAATGGAAAGAACATGACGATAGTCAAAATTGCAGCAAAATTATAAAGACTAAGCTTAGCTCCAAAGAATAGATATGAAAAGCTACCTCTCCTCTTTTTAGAGGTAGGAGGCAGTGAGTATGGAATATTGCATATAATGTCAGATTTTTTGACATATTAGTTTTGCTGAACTTTTTATCTTTTATTTTTTGTTATGGAAAAATAATTCTCTGGTAGATGAAGAGGAATACATTGGAAAATGTAGGTGATATCAAAAGAAGTTTTTTTTTAAATTTCAGCAGCTTTAATTTAAGGTGTATTCTCTTGGTCCTGCTTTTCTTCACTTCATATCAGTTCATATAATTTATAGGTTCATAGATTTTAAAATAGAAGGGACTTTACAGTTTTTGTGCAGTCTGAACCCAAGTCTTTGCCCTTTTCTCTGAATTCTTCCTATTAATATACCACACTTTGTTTAGCCGTTTCCTCAAGTAAGTGATACACTTTTTTTTTCCCAAATTTTTTTTGCTACTACAGAAAGTGCTGCTATTTATCTTTGTTATGTGTGGGACCTTTATATCTGTCATTGACTTTCTTGGTGTGTATGTCCATAGCCATCCAGTAAACATAATATGTGTCATAGCTCTATAATCCATGGCATTTGACCAAGTTCCTGGTTTAGACAAATCAAGTTTATTTAACCTTGGGACCTTTCCTCAAAAATCATACTGTTTTTCTACAACAGAAAGGAAAAGATCTTCATTTCTTATATAAGCAATCAGGCTATATAGACTGAATATTAGATAGGTTTTATTTAATGAAATGAAAAATTGAGATTCATATTTAAATCCATAAACAATCATGACACCTGTCCTTTTCTCTCTGATGGGTCTCACTTTGCCCAGAGACCTATAGAGTCCTCCAGACCTATAGCACTTCCCTAGCATTGAGGCTCCCCTTCAAGGGGAAAGTACTTGGGGTCACTAAGAAGGCAAGCAACCCATCCTGTCATTGAGTCTCACTCCCTCGGGATGTGCTGAAGTCATCTTGAATCAGCGCTAGCCAATTGTTAAATTTTCATTGTGAGCATTTACACCTCAGACATTGGCAATGGCTACAAATCAGGCTTTGATTTATTGTTTTGTTGATTGTCTAGACTTTAAGAAAGTGATGGAGAAAATGTTAATCATGCGGATTAAACTTAAAAGTGTGTGTTGTGTACATTTGTTTTTTGGAGAGCCAGTTTATTTACCCACATACCCTTGGTCTCCCTCCAGGGACCTAAATGATGGTACCACTCTGAGAAGGTGAAGCTATCCTTTAAGGAGGAAGTCACTGGAAAGTCATTAGAAGACATTAGAAAGTTTACTCCCACCCCCTGAACATTTATAGCCCATATGATTCATAGTTCTCAATAAATGTTAAGTTTCTTGGTTATCTCCACATCAAGGCCCATGGTGTCCTCTAGATCTAGGTTGCTTAATGGCTATTTATATGCACTGCGTATAGGATCATTATTTTTCAGTTATACCTAAGTCCTTATCAGGATTCTTGGCCAGTTCTTATTCATTTGTCCTTTTATAGCTTCCCAGTTAATGTGTACTCCATTCTCTGGTTCTGATTCCTTGTTTTGCATTATTTCATAATGGGTTTTCTAGATTTCTTTACTTCCTTAATTATATCACAGTATACCACAGTTTATTTAGCCATTCCCTGTTAAACATTTAGGTTGTTTATAAGTATGATTAAGTATAATGATACTATGAAAATCTGAACCAATGACTCTTTTTTATAATATTTTTAGGGTTTCTTTCCCATGTTTTTCTGACTTGTTTTTAGTCATTCCTTTAAAAGGCAGTAATAATCTGTTATATTTATATACCATTATTTGTTCAGCCATTCCTCATCACTGGGCTGTAATTTCCCCCCCAGTTTTTTTGGGGGGGGATTGTTGTTGTTATTACAAATAGTGTTACCATGAAGATATTCATACAGTTACATCTTTGTCAGTAAAAACTTCGTTGGAAGTATAAACACCTGCTATGGAATTACAGGGACAAAGGGTATGAAGAGTTTTGTAACTTTTCTTGTATAATCTTAAATTGTTTTCCAAAGTAGTTTTTTCAGCAGTGCATTAATGTACTTGTTTTTCTTCATCCCCCAAAACATGAAAATTTTCCATGTTTTACCATTTTTGCCAATTTGATAGATTCCTTAAGAGTTGTTTTAATTTACTTTTCTCTGATTATTAGATATTACTATTTTCTCTGATTATTAACACTTTTATAGTGGTGGTTGATAGCTGGCATTTCCTTTTAAGAACTATTTGTTGGGCATTGGTGACTGCTTATCTGTAGGGAGATGACTGTTAAACCCATAGATTTCTGAAGATTTTGGATGTCAATCTACCAGAGACATTTCATGAAAATATGTATTAGTCACTATCTTTTCTTCTTCTTCTGGCTTCATCTGTTTTTTCAAAAGCTTTTTTTGTTTAGATATAATTAAAGTAGTCCAGTCCTCTGGATTTGCATTTTGCCTTTTTTCCCCAATACTTCTGAACAGTTTTCTTATATAATTTCCTGAATGCTTCGCTTCTTCATATTTTTATGGGAGACTAAGAATTCTCAGATTGTCTTGAGCTCTGTCTTCGAGCTCTGGCGCTTTGGTCTGTAGGGTTCTGAGGTTGTCTTCCATTTCTAACATTTCTTATAACTCTGCTCTGTTCTACATTATCTTTTTGTTATTGTTGTTCTGCCTGAATCTCTCTACACATCAGAGTCCATGGCTTCATTTGGATTTCCTGTCTTTTCTACTTTATCTAATTTTCCTGTTCATCTTTTTAAATTTTTTCCTCAGTGATCTTAATACCAGATCTTTCTTTAACTCTTACTGTTGTTCTAAGACTCTCACAGTGTGTCTAAATTTTGTCTTTTAGAGGTGTGACTGATATTACAGTCTTCTTTCCTTCAGATTTCTTCTTACTTTCTTTAACCTGTAGAATTTATTCATTTTGCTGACATTTTCCCACTTCCTCAAACCCCCTCTCCCCCACCATTTCTTTTCAGTTTTTCTTGGTAGTTTTCCTGCAGAATTTATTTTTGGTGAAGTTTTTCCCCCTTTTCCTTCTTTTTTTTTTTTTTTTTTTTTTGTTCTTTTGGGGTTTTTTTGGCCTCCATTTGTCTTTTGTTTTGAGGTGGTACAAGGGAACTGGAGGTCCTGGCTTGCATTTTAGCAGCTCCTGTCTTGGCCTCAGGGGTGGCAGCAGCAAAATGGGAGAGTTACTGGACCAGATGGTTCCCTGCAGATCCCTAGGATGTGAAGGCTTCCGCTCCTCAATCCTCACTGCTATCTCTAGCTCTTGTTCTATCCTGTTTTTATTCTCTCTCTTTAAGGCCAAGTGCAAGGGTATTGGGGGTTAATGCTTTTATTAAGGGGATTTGTTCTGTGACCTTTGGATTATATCAAAGGGCCGCACTTGAGGACCTAGAGGGCTGAGCTTGTGGCCCAGAGGTCACGGGTTCCCTACTCCCTAGTCCGTTCATATGATCTGGTTATGAATGTCATTCACATTTTACCAAAGGGCTTTCCTTGTCAAGAAAAATTTTAATTGGTTAAAGAGAGGCAACAGGGATTCAGGAAAACCTTGCCAAGACTCTTCCTGGGCACACCTTTTATCTATGGTTAATTGGTGAGCCATCTGTAGCAAATTGTTCTGACAGAGGAATCAGGAAGTGTTGGGGTCACTTTGATGTTCAGTTCCCATGTTAAAACCATTTTCAGTAACAGGTGAACTTTCTTATTTGGTTAACACTTCATCTACTTCCTAACATCAACTCTCACTAATGATGGCATATGTCATGTAATGTTTTAATACAACCACTAATAGCCAGATGCTATTAGAACCACTCTAATCCTTGTTAGAGACACTATTCTTCAGAAGATGAAGCCAAGTATATTGTGGGGGTAGGGGTGATTCAAATGGATGATACTACTTGTTTAATCTGCATTAAGAGAGAGAAATTAGTTGTAGAGATCATCACTATTGAATGTTCTGGTGGACAGAATGGAATAGCTTTATGAAATCTTTGTTCTTTTCCTGTAGTGACTTAAGAATTCCACTTTCAAAAAATCAGAATTTGCCCCTATATATATAAAAATATTCATAGCAGTACTTTTCATGGTAGCAAAAACAAAGTGGGTATTTATTTCCATTCATTGGAAAATGGCTGAATAGATTTTGGTTCATAAATGTAGTGGAAACAGAACTAGGAAAACAGTATGTAAAATGACTGCAAAATAACCAAAAAATGCAGAAATAAAGTGGCATTCTGAACAATTAGTAATGACCAACCTTGGATACAAAGAATAGAAAAAATGAAACACATCTCTCTCCTTTCTGTGGAGAGGTGAGTGACTGTAGTTGCTGAATGTTACTATTTGGATTGATTGTGTTTAATTTTTTTCAGGGAAGAGTCAGTCTAGGAGTTGGGATTATATACAGCAATGACTAATATAGAACAAGGCAAAAGTAAATAAAAAGTACTTTTAAGAAAGTAATTGTTTAAAAACCAGGACTGCCTGTTAGGAGACATTATGAAATTCAAGTCTGATGACTATTTCTTTTTCTTTTGCTAGATTGATGTAGGTATCAGGATACCACAACTGCCTGCCTCCCCTTATGCAGGGGTTACCAAGAGTGTGGAAGCATGGAGGAAAGTCGAAATGAGAAGACAAATGAAGCTCATATTCTCTTTGACCGATTTGTCCAGGCCAGTACCTGCAAAGGAACGTTGAAAGCTTTCCAAGAGCTTTGTGACTATCTGGAGCTAAAGCCCAAGGACTATCGTAGCTTCTACCACAAGCTCAAATCCAAGCTTAACTACTGGAAAGCCAAAGCCCTCTGGGCAAAACTGGATAAACGGGGCAGCCACAAAGACTACAGAAAGGGAAAAGTGTGCACTAACACCAAGGTAATAGTTGTTTGACTATACCAGCATTATGGGGCTACAGATTTAAGGGTTTAGAACGGGTTCCACCGAGAAGAATTGGTGCTGAAAGACTGAATGAGGTTTGCATAGATTTCAGCAGCAACTCAATGTGGAAGAGAGACTCATTTACCTTGTTCAAAAGCCAGGTGTCTGTTAGGTGCATTCACTTTATGTAGGTAGTATCATGGGAGCCTCAGCCATCCAAAGAACAATCCATAAAGATGCATCCTACGTATGGACTAAGATTTTTATGTGTATTTTTCATTTAGAAAAGGAGCATTTCCTTCAAATAGGTGAAAAAAGGCTATCGACCTAAGCCATAGGATAGAAGTGAACAAATATAGTATGAAAAATGTATTTCCTGCTTTCTCTCCATATTTCATATTTATTTTTACCTTCCTCTCAGTCATGTCATATGGTGCTTATAAAAGTGCAGATTTGGCATATACTGTAAATACTCATTATTGAAGCAGTCCATGCTTGCTTTTGTTGCATTTTGGAAAAAGTTGGTGGGGATGTGAAATTACAAGTGATAATATACCATGCGAGTCCAACACACAATTCTTAAATGATTTCGTGGTGTTGAGTAAAATTTCAGTTCATTGGGCCAACATAGTCCTAAAAAAGATTCTACCAAAATACATTATGTTGATGTCATGCCTCTCATTATTGTTCAGCCTTTTTGTACCTGCTAAGACAAGTACCTGCTCTCTTCCCATAGAATCTTCTCATGGAGTTTTCAAAATGGAGAACTTAGAAAAGTAGGGTTTCTTTCAAATTGTAATTTAGAATTGTGTTCGAGGAGAAAAACCCAAACACCTTTGGATCTGAGGATCTTTCAGAGCTGTTTTAAGCCTGTCCATTAGTAGGATCTCCAAGGCTCAGTATTTCAAGGCCTGAAAATTAAAAAAAAAAAAAATTTAATTCCTTCAAAGCTGAAGGAATAAAAAACCTTGCACACTTGCTACCTACATTTAACCAGTGTGTTCAGTGGGATATTGTCTTGCATTTGTTTGGGGTTTGTACATAGAACTATTAAGCAACCAGGCTGTTGAGACCCTTTTGTTGATACTCAGCACTAGCCCTGCACCCATCTCTTGTCGATGCTTTATTCGGACCTACGTGTGATGACAAGTATTTATTGAAGGGTTGAATTCTGTGGCAATCTTGCTCCAGATGGGAATGTTGAAAGGAATTATTTCAGAGAAAACTTTGGAAGGCCTGTACAAGAGTTTTGTCTTTCTTTTCTTTCCCCCTCCCCCAACTTGGGGGTGGGAGAGGTGGGAAAGAGAAGGGAGCTAGCAGTAGGTTGCCCAAGAAAAGACAAATAAAAAAGACAAATAAGAACACATTTTTAAATGCATGAAAGTAAACAGAAGGAATGACAACTAGGACAGCTTCAAAAGCTATACGACATTGAAGTTTTCACATACTTTATTTTTTTGCATTTTTATTTTTATTGTTATCGTATACTTAAAGGAAAAACTACTTGCATTTAAGAAAGATTCAGTTGCACAAATTACAATCTTGTTTCTCTGTTCCATGTTGTATATGATAATGCTCGTTTTATTTGGTTTATGTTCAGAATGAAAAAAGAAATGGGAGAAAAAGTAAATGGGAAATGTTCTTTGGGTGGGAGTTGTTGTGAAATTATGAATCTGTTATACAGATGTGGATTATCTCTAGAGGTGCTTCTCTTGCCCTAATAGTAGCTGTGTGTTTCAGTGTCTCATCATTGGAGCTGGGCCTTGTGGCCTTCGCACAGCCATTGACTTGTCCTTACTGGGAGCCAAGGTAGTGGTCATTGAGAAACGGGATGCCTTCTCCCGCAACAACGTCCTGCATCTCTGGCCATTTACCATACACGACCTGAGGGGTCTGGGTGCCAAGAAGTTCTATGGCAAGTTCTGCGCTGGGGCCATTGACCACATCAGTAAGTGACATGGAGTCTCTCGAACATGTCTTCCGGAACCTTTCATTTTGTTTTGGTAGGAAGGATCTAGTGGCACATTGGAAAAATTCGACTGTAGCCCAGTTTGTGCGGTGGTGGTAACATGTTATGCAGCCAGACTAATTCTAGTTGTGTTCTCTCCAGATCTCTTGAATTATATCTTGTGCTTGGATTTCTAAGATAGTTGTAACTTATCGCGGACTGGCGTTGCTTCCTTAGGCAGCAGTAGCCCATCTGGAATGGTTTGGAACTAGAGGGTATCTGGATGAGAAATTAAATAACAGTCTTGATTCCAAGGCAGTTTTATTAAGGAGCCTATATCTTGAGTGCACCCAAATGTCCTCCTCTGTTTCCCTTAGACTCAATACCCTCTGTAGCAGAGGCAGCTGTGACTTTAAGCACTTGTATAATTTTGTACCACGTTATCCAGCACCTACTGTCTTCCACTGGCTAGAGAAAATATTTCTTCCTCCGCTAGACTAGAATCTGTAAAGTGTCCTGGGTATATACAACTGTCTACAAATAAAATGCATAATAACAGGGGATGAAATTGCCATTTCGGGGATAGTTATTCAAGGAGGTAGCAGTTGTGGGCAGCCAAAAAGAAAAACTAAGCTGGATTATAGTAAGATGGTTGTGCTCTCAAAAAACTATGTATAGGCCATAGGCCGTATTGGTTTTAGAAAAGGACCTAAGCTATATTAATTCAACAGATCTGTCTGCCTATTATCTGTCATATTTTATTTGATAGGCAGTATGGTAATAGTGCAAAAGAGGAAGATCTAGATTCAAATTCTGTCTCAAATACTTAATAGCTGTGTGACCATGGGCAAGTCCTATGAACCTCTCTTGGCCTCATTTCTCTCATCTGTAAAATGGAAATAATTATCGTTTCTCTACCTTTATCACAGAATTATTTTGAAGAAGTACTTATTAGATCATCAGGTGCTGTATAAAGGTGAACTACCATTACTTTTCCTGACAGTTTATCATGGAAATAAAGTTTTCAGAGATCATTTAATCTATGTCCTTTACAAATAATGACTCTCTCTTATTTTTGTAGCCCCACCTAAAGGCAGGAGATAACTTAGACAATCTTAGGAGGTTCATTTCAACCTAAACATTGTTGGCTTAAATAGTTCTTCAACTTTCTTTAAAATTTGCTTCTCTCAAGTCTTTCTAGCAACCCAGCTTTGTCACCTAATCAATACAGGTAGCATCAATATTGAACAGTACTTGGTAGTGGAAGGAGCTTGGAACAGAATTACAAAATGATCATCCCAACCTTGCCTTTAAATATCTATATGACTTTTGGTACTTTACCTTTTTCATCTGTAAAATAGAAATGACATTCCTGAGAAGCAGGTAGGACAAATATTTAAAAAACAAGAAAACAAATTTGAAAGGAGGGCACTTTGCAAAAATAAGTGTATGGTGGTATTATTTTGGAGAAGTAATGAGATTATTTCCAGCCTAATGAACTCCAGAGTGGTGGTGGTGGTAGAACTATATTTCATGGCAAGGCTGGCATTTTTAAGATCAAATCCAAAATTACTGATTATAACTTATATTTGTTAATGCTTCACAGACTAATTTCATATACATTTTTTTATTTGATAGTCACAAAAATCCCACAAAATAGGCAAGAAATGTAATCCCATGTTACAGTTCAGGAAACTGAGGTTAAGACAGATTAAGTGACTTGCTCAGAGTCTTATGGCTAATAATGACAGAGTGAAGACCAGTAAATACCCAGTTCTTCTGGCTCCTTATCCAGTGCATTTTATCTGTCATCATGTTTTTTTGCAATATACCTATCTGCAATCAATTTTGCTAGGCACTGTTGAGAGCAGAAGTAAAAGACATAGTTCAAGTCCTCTAAGAAGTTCATCTTCATTTTTCTTGGTCATCTACTTTTCTTAAAGCCTTCCCTTATATGTAGACTATTGGGAAAGACTTTGGACAGGGAACCAGCTTTCAATTTCAGACATATCAGACTGTATAACCTTTAGCAAATGATTTAATTTATAGGTTCCTCTCCAGGCAAAATTTGGGATTGGATTATGCCCCTCCTTATTTTATGTATTTTATATGTTGTAAGAGTAAATGAGGTAATGCAGGTATATGTAGGTCTTTTTAAAAAAAGTGCTTTGTAATTCTATAGGAGTATAATAGTTGTTTTTTCTTTGTTAATGTTTATTATGTGTGAATGTAAACACATGTATTATCTATCTTACCCTATTCAGGTGTGGCATTTCTCCCATTATGTCAAGATAGCCCAGACTAAGAAACCACGTCCCCATTTTTTTTTCTATATTTTACTTGTGGAAGTAGGGGGAGATAGGAAAACTTTGCTTGTTGGCCCTCTCTATAACCATCCCATAAAAGAGAGGAGTGGGTTTGAATCTGTCTGGAGGATGGACACAGGAACGTATCTCCACATAATCTGTATTTGCCCTTTAAAAAAAAAAAAAAGACTACAGTATGTGACTTGGAAAATGTTTCCTGCCAATGGAGGCATTGAGAATGTGAAGAAGCCAAGAGTGGGTGGGTGGGTGAGGGACTTGGAGAGATGTTATTGAGTGGTACCTTCTTTTCTGTATAGCTTTGCTTAAAGCTGTTTTTGTGTCTATCCCTGATCTTATTCTATAGGCATCCGGCAGCTCCAGTTAATCCTTTTGAAGGTTGCTTTGATTCTTGGCATTGAAATCCATGTCAATGTGGAATTCCAGGGCCTTGTATACCCCCCTGAGGACCAAGAGAATGAACGTAAGTTAGAACAAAACTATTGGGGGCCCGTGAAGAGTAGAAGAATGGATGAGAAGGGGTGGAGTCAAAGAGAAAAACCATACAAGATTATGGGTTGGTTTCAGAGTAAGAAAATTTAGATTCCTTATGTATACTGCTTTTTGTACCGCCTGAGGATCTTTGGGTCTGAAGAGTAGGCAGTGGGGTTGCTTATGACTTTGTAAGCATTGCATTTCTTGTGGCAAATCTCTTCCTTTGTGAGTCTTCTTAAGGACTTCTCTCCTAGAATTTATAAGCCGTGATTCTTCCATGTTGCTTTAAATATTATACATTCGGCTTGATATTCCTCGTGTCTAGAATACCTAGAGATTTGAAGATCACCCTATATAGGGATTTTGTAGTCTTGTTTGTATGATATAGGGCTGAGAGGCAACATTCATTTGTATTTGCTCCACAGGAATAGGTTGGAGGGCACAGGTACACCCCAAAACACATCCTGTATCGGAGTATGAATTTGAAGTGATCATTGGAGGGGATGGCAGGAGGAACACCTTAGAAGGTACTGAATATAGACACTCCTTTGCTTGGGTGGAGTAGAAAGGTGACTGTTGGCATACTTGGCCTTTTCAGTTGCTTGCCATGGTCATAAATGTTTTAAATGCCTATATACGGTTATACTTTCTAGTTGCTTGTGTGTGTGTGTGTGTGTGTGTGTGTGTGTGTGTGTGTGTGTGTGT